GAATGGCGGAGGACTTAGTGTTAGAGTGAAAACCGAACGGTGGGTCATGATGATCTCATTGTCAGCTATAGATCGCACCAGCTGGAAAAGTTCTTCAAAAACACAACTCATCTAGGCTGGAAGGGTTTTCTATGAATGAGGGGCGAGAAAAAGAGTAGGTTGCTTACATAGTAAAGAAACCACCGACCAACGAAGGATAAATTTACGACGCCAGCGAGGCCGTAAGGTTTTTTTTCTTGAAGAGAAACAATGGCTAAAAATAGCATGCTGACAACAGGAGGCAAAGGAGGGAGGGGGGGGGGTGAGCCACAAATTCAAACATACCCTCCCAATCACCCTGCTATCTCAATATGCCATCTTGCAAAGTTCGTCGAATAATTTTTTTGAAAATTAGCGCATGTAAGAGGCGACATATATGGAAAAGTGCAAGTGAGGAGATAGAGAGAACCTTGAAATGAAAAAAAAACCTATATGAAAAGGGACGTATCACACGCACTGTACTCAATACATCTGACACGGGGTAGATCAGGCCAGGCGAAAAAGGGCTTGAACGCAATTTGCAGATCGTTTTTATAAAAAAATCGCAACTGATAAGACAAACGACACTTAACAGCTATTTTATAAGATTATAGCGCTAGGCTTGCACTGATAAAGGCGAACTTGGCCGCGGGAGATATGAGCGCAGTCGTAAAGAAAAGCGCTTCGGGAACACGCGTTTGTTTTTGTGTTCAGTTATGCAGCAGCACTGATGGAATCTATAAAACATCAGTGTTCGTTTTGTAAAGTTTAGAAAACAAAGTGGACAGGAAAAAAGTGTACCCGCGATGACTATGTAATCCAACATTCTATTGAAAATCCTGAGATGAGCAAGGATAAGCAAGGCACACTTTTGAAAGCAAGCATAAAACTTCTAGACGGTAACTTCACAGAAAAGGAATAATCGAAGTGGATGGAAAAAATAAAAATAGATTGTTGATCCCATCGAGTACATGGGCCGCTTGTGCAGATATCGATTCGCAGGCCTCAGGCAGCGAACACCCCCCGACGTGAACTCCCCGCAAAGATTGAAATCGCATCATGGGAAAAACAACTTCCCGGTTCAACCCTAAACCTTATATTTTGACCAGGTCAGTGAATAGGCTTCATTGTTATGTTGATGTGAAAGGGAAAAAAAAGATGCACAAGAATGCCTTCATTTGGATAAGCATGAAACGTAATGGCCAACACCGGCGCTTACGTTCTCGTGCGGGGAAGGGGGGGGGGGGGGTGAGGGATTCGAAACAGGGCATTCAAAAACCACTGATGGGCGATACTTAGATTAGGCCCAGGACGGAGGAGAAAGCCAGGGAGAACAACGATTGTACACGTCCACCCCTCAGAACCCGTTTCGCTCCTTAAGGCTCAGTCCCAAGTTCTGTAAGTGAATCACTCACTCCAATGTCCCCTAACGACATGAGTGCCCACACACCTTCTGCAGTACAACATTCATTCCAAAACTCCTATCCTTCCACTGCAAATACTGAGCCCACAACGACGGGTACCTGACTGTTACAGACTACCTCATCCTTCTATGGTCCTCCACGAATGGCAGAGGGTACAAACGATTAGAGAACGGCACCTCGGCTCCATGTCCCA